TCCACAAGTCTGATTAATCCTTGGGAGCAATTTCCAAACGCCTGAAGGTACCACGTTCGTCTGTACAAACAATAGTATGCAAGTATAAACACCATGGGACCACGCAGCCGTCATACAGCTCAGGAAGGAGACGCGTTCTGTCTCCTAGAGATGAACATACTTTGGTGCGAAAAGTGCAAAACAATCCCAGAACAACAGCAAAGGACCTTGTGAAGATGCTGGAGGAAACAGGTACAAATGTATTTATATCCACAGTAAAACGAGTCCTATATCGACATAACCTGAAAGGCCGCTCAGCAAGGAAGAAGCCACTGCTCCAAAACCACCATAAAAAAGCCAGACTACGGTTTGCAACTGCACATGGGGACAAAGATCGTACTTTTTGGAGAAATGTCCTCTGGTCTGATGAAACAAAAATATAACTATTTGGCCATAATGACCATCGTTATGTTTGGAGGAAAAAGGGGGTCCTTGCAAGCTGAAGAACACCATCCCAAACGTGAAGTATGGATGTGGCAGCATCATGCTGTGGGGGTGCTTTGCTGCAGGAGGGACAGGTGCACTTCACAAAATACAGTTGAAGTCACAACTTTACATGCACCTTAGCCAAATACATTTCAACTCAGTTTTTCACAATTCCTGACATTTTATCCTAGTAAACATTCCCTGTCTTAGGTCAGTTAGGATCACCACTTTATTTTAAGAATGTGAAATGTCATAATAATAGGAGAGATAATTATTTATTTCAGCTTTTATTTCTTTCATCACATTCCCAGTGGGTCAGAAGTGTATATGCACTCAATTAGTATTTGGTAGCATTGCCTATAAATTGTTTAACTTGGGTCAAACGTTTCAGGTAGTCTTAAACAAGCTTCCCAGAATAAGTTGGGTGAATTTTAGCCCATTTGGAACACCCATTTGCGACCAAGCTTTAACTTCCTGAATAATGTCTTGAGATGTTCCTTCAATATATCCACATATATTTCCTTCCTAATGATGCCATCTACAGTGACTTGCAAAAATATTCATCCCCTTTGGCATTTTTCCTATTTTGTTACATTGCAACCTGTAATTTAAAATAATTTTTATTTGAATTTCATGTAATGGACATACACAAAATAGTCCAAATTGGTGAAGTGAAATTAAAAAAATGACTTGTTTCAAAAAGTTCTAAAAAATAAATAAAGGAAAAGTGGTGCGTGCAAATGTATTCACCCCCTTTGCTATGAAGCCCGTAAATAAGATCTGGTGCAGCCAATTACCTTTAGAAGTCACATAATTAGTTAAATCAAGTCCACCTGTCTGAAATCTAAGTGTCACATGATCTCAGTATATATACACCTGTTCTGAAAGGCCCCAGAGTCTGCAACACCACTAAGCAAGGGGCACCATAGAGACCAAGGAGCTCTCCAAACAGGTCAGTGACAAAGTTGTGGAAAAGTACAGTTCAGGGTTGGGTTTAAAAAATATATCAGAAACTTTGAACATCCCAAGGAGCACCATTAAATCCATTATTAAAAAATGGAAAGAATATGGCACCACAACAAACCTGCCAAGAGAGGGCCGCCCACCAAAACTCACGGACCTGGCAAGGAGGGCATTAAAAAGAGAGGCAACAAAGAGACCAAAGATAACCCTGAAGGAGCTGCAAATCTCTGCAGCAGAGATTGGAGTATCTGTCCATAGGACCAATTTAAGCCGTACACTCCACAGAGCTGGGCTTTACGGAAGAGAGGCCAGAAAAGATCCATTGCTTAAAGAAAGAAATAAGCAAACATGTTTGGTGTTTGCCAAAAGCCATGTGGGAGACTCCCCAAACATCTGGAAGATGGTACTCTAGTCAGATGAGACTAAAATTGAGCTTTTTGGCCATCAAGGAAAACGCTATGTCTGGCGCAAACCTAACACCTCTCATCACCCCGAGAACACCATGTTTTTCATCGGCAGGGACTGGGAAACTGGTCAAAATTGAAGGGAAATTCTTGAGGGAAACCTGTTTCGGTCTTCCAGAGATTTGAGACAGGGACGGAGGTTCACCTTCCAGCAGAACAATGACCCTAAGCATACTGCTAAAGCAACACTTGAGTGGTTTAAGGGGAACATTTAAATGTCTTGGAATGGCCTAGTCAAAGCCCAGACCTCAATCCAAATGAGAACCTGTGGTATGACTTAAATATTGCTGTACACCAGCGGAACCCATCCAACGGAACCCATCCAAGGTATGAAAAATGTATGCACTCACTAACTGTAAGTCGCTCTGGATAAGAGCGTCTGCTAAATGACTAAAATGTAAAACTGTAAACTTGAAGGAGCTGGAGCAGTTTTGCCTTGAAGAATGGGCAAAAATCCCAGTGGCTAGATGTGCCAAGCTTATAGAGACATGCCCCAAGAGACTTGCAACTGTATTTGCTGCAAAAGGTGGCTCTACAAAGTATTGACTTTGGGGGGGTGAATATTTATGCACACTCAAGTTTTTTTTATTTTTTTGTCTTATTTGTTGTTTGTTTCACCCCAAAAAATAGTTTGCATCTTCAAAGTGGTAGGCATGTTGTGTAAATCAAATGATACAAACCCCCCCAAAATCAATTTTAATTCCAGGTTGTAAGGCAACAAATTAGGAAAAATGACAAGGGGGGTGAATACTTTCGCAAGCCACTGTACCTAGGCTCCTTTCCCCAACACCCTTCCCAAAACAGCCAAACTTAGAACCCTGCTGTGCCCCTGGTCCAAGGGCTATCCACAGCCTCGTCATAGACTCCTGCTACAGCCTCACAGCAGGTTCCTTCATTAAAATTTCACCACAAAGTGCATGAGTGCTGCCCAAAGCTCCTCGTTATGCTAACCACACCACTCCGGGCTGGCAGGCACAACCTGACATGACCAATAACTAACGCCAAGTCAGATGCCTGTTGGCACATTGTAAATGGGCCTTGAAAAGCCATCTTTCATTTCTGCCCGTTAAATGAAATGTCCCTGATTTTCTGCCATGGGCAGACAAGGTTTTATATGTAGAAAATTGCACCGTGCAAACCCGCGGGGGCTTCCATTTTGCGGTATCAAACGTCATTACAATAATGGACCTGAGCTTTTAAGGCAAATACCTGATAAAATGTTCTCCAAGAGGATAGGCTTTTGGCCTCTAGACCTGGGAGAACAGGCAGGTAACGTGTGTATGGGCAGACAGGGACACGCAAACACACAAAAGAGACACACATGCACATGCTTGCACGCACGCAGGTACACACACTCAGCCTCTCCAAAACAAACGTATCCATTCAAATTCAAACAACATCTATCAAAAAGTACCTGCCGCCCTGTGTTGGGCACAACCATGCATTTTAACTGGCAGCATTCAGGACTAAGTGAGCTGAGCCACAGTCACTGCGGTTTCCATTCTCTAGCTGGAGTGATAGAGAGTGGCGTTGGAGAGTGTGGCTGCCAGCCTGAGCCTAGCCAATTGATTGCTGTGAAATTCAAAGAGACACCTTATTTTTACCCAAGATCCTCTACTCTCTTTGGTTTTGGGTTTATAAGCGTCTGTGGTGTTCCTGCTCCTTAAGCCTGCAGCCAGGGCCCGCTTTAAGATCAATCATTTTGAATATCACAAGATGGGCGGCAGGTAGCTTAGTGGTTAAGAGCGTTGTGCCAGTAACCGAAAGGTTGCTGGTTCCAAGCCGACTAGGTGAAAAATCTGTCAATGTGCCCTTGAGCAAGGCACTTAACCCTAATTGCTCTGGATAAGAGTGTCTGCTAAATGACTAAGAAGGTCAAGATAAGTATCTTTAAACTCGCCAGTTGTGGTAATTTAATCAATCGAGCTTGACAACAGTTAATTCCTGTGTGTAAACTTGGCCTAAAGATTCCAATGATAATCACACTGTAGATTCAGTTCACAGAGCACAATGCAGCCAAAACAAACATCCCTGGAGTGGTATTTTAAGAACTGCTCAGTCTTTGAAGAGACTCTGTGGAGTCTGTGGGTAACATTTATTTTGAGAGGACTTGACCATGGCCCTGTAGCGCTGTTTAATTCATCAAAAAATATTAAAAGGAGGGAAGAGCCAGAGCAGCGGCACAGTGTGTCATTGTTCAGACACAAAGCGGCGTGACAAGGCTCTGACAGACTGCTGTATCACCCTTTGAATTAGTGCAATACTTAACAAGATCAAATGTCAGCTTCATTCCCCGAAATTAACTCTCTTTGGCACAGTCAATGAAACCAATTATGCTCAACGCCGAGACATGCCTTTTGAAATTAATATTTTGGGAAGGGGGAAAAGAGATGTTCCTCGATGTGCTGAACGTCTCACTTCAAATCAAAATCAGTTGGACTCACCCAGACAGCATCCTGACGTTCAGTCCAGTTGGACGAAGCACTCAACAATCCCCAGAGGAAGTCTCTCCTCTCCACTTTTTCTCTTCTCTTCTTTCTCTCTTCTCCTCCATTTCTTTTTTCTCCCAGGTAGAGGTTAGGCAGCCTGCTTTTAGTTGTTTTAGTGATTGTCAGATATACCTACATAGGTCATTGCAATACAACATTTACACAACATAAGTTTGTCTCAAGATATTCGCATGAAACTTCCAACAGATTATATTTTAATAATGTACAGTGTATCCTGAAAGAGAGCCTAAGGCACACAAACAGCCCTCAGAAACAGATGGTCTGTTATGATACACACGTAGTCGTTGTATTAGCTTTCTGATCCTAGTGGAGTCATGCTAGGCTCTTTGAACATCTTCATACCCAACACAGCAAAGGCTACATAACAAAGGCATGCTCAAAAACACCAGCCACCTTTTTTAATGAAATAACTTCCTTACACACAGTCGATATGACAAACCTAATTTATCAGACTAGCAGCTGGAAGGGAAGCAGGCTGCACGAAGCAGGCAGCAGGCAGGCATCCATATTGGTGCGGTGCAGGCTGCAAAACAGAAACAGGCGGTGTTGTGTTGCCCGTCTGCTGCACTAGGCTCCGTTCGTTCCGCTGTTAAACACACTAACGGTATTCTCTAACGGACGCTCCCTCATTAACGGGAGAACACACCGGAGCGATGCGGCGAGTGGCGGGGAGCAGCAGGGAACGGCGGGGAACGCTGACTGGCAGGTGTGACATTTCTGACAGCTCGCCGTCCGTCCCAGGTGTCTGTCCATTGCCGTCGACGACGTCTGAGCGGAACGGGCTGATCGGAACACAACACAGTCGTATGTTTATATAGTCTCACCGGAAGACCATGCAGGAATCAAATAACTGTAAATAACTAAAAGGGAAATATTGGGCATGAAAAGCATGTGTGGTGTTTGTTTTTTTCAATACTGGTGCCAGCGTGTGCCAGACGGTCACATCTGCAAACACACCTTCAGTATGTGTTTGTTTATTTGGTTTATATTCATTTCCCACAGTGAATTGTACCCTATTTAGTCTAAATGAAAAGGTAGACCAGTGTGTGCGTGTGTGTGTGTGCGTGCGTGCGTGTGTGTGTGGTTTACCAACCGGTAGCTTTGAGATTAAACCTGTTCTCCACTTCTACAGGCCTCTGGGGAGCCTCTGTTCTCAGGTCCTAAAACAATAGAGCTGCTATAGTACATTGGGCTGCAGGAATACACAAACAATGAAATATTCTGACTCACATTCCGGGTAAAATCTTATTATGGAAGGAAATATACAAAACACAGAAATAACCTCCCTTGAGGCCCTAGTGTGTGACTAACCTGAAAAACATTCCACCAAACTCAGATTACAACTATATCTCCTCAGGTTTTGGATGGGAGCAAACACTTGCAGACAGTCAGACAAGCAAACCATTGAAAAATCTGTTTGGAGAAAGTGACTTGAAAATGGAAGTGTTCAGACAGCCCTATCCACTGCTCCTGTTGATGTCTGTGCTGTATAGAAGAGGGTGTTTTAGGACAACAGAATGTCCATGACAGCAGAGAGAGAGAGAGAGAGAGAGAGAGAGAGAGAGAGAGAGAGAGAGAGAGCTACTATATCCTCATCTACTAGATCGATCTAGCTAGATCGATGCGATCTCTCTCTCTCTCTCTCTCTTCTCTCTCTTCGTCTCTCTCTCTACTCTCTCTCTTCTCTCTCTCAGAGACAGAGAGAGACAGAGACAGAGCTGAGAAGATGAAAGGTCCAGTGTTGCCAACATCTGGTCAGGGTGTCATGGCAACCACATCCATAATCTGAGCTGAAATGTAGAATAATCTAGTGATCCATGCTACCCATCTCCATACACACGCACACACACACACACAAACAAACAAAACACACACACACAGAGAGTGGAGGACCATCTACCTGCTTCACCTCAAGAAACACACACACGCTCGAGTGCACACACAAACACGCACATACATGTGTGAGAGGATCCATAGAGAGAGAAGTCTCCTGGTGTTGTGTGTGTAATCTATCGTCCCTGACAGTGACAATGGTCTGTGTAACTGGTAATTGAATTAGCCTGCAGGTAAATAACTAGGATTACTGTCACTGCTACCCTATCAGAGGTAGCCCTGACCAGGGGTCCTGTCTGCTGCGGAGTTGCAGGTTTAGACCCCCAAGACCACTGCCAGGTTATAATACACCCTCTGATTTTCCTTTCAACCACCACTTCTTATCTGTCAGTATGCTAATGGTCAGACTTGAATGGGAAAGGCAAGACTGTATTTTTGCTATGCATTGGGCTGTAGAAGGAACGCATGAGAATAACATTGATCAACGGCAGACAGCGATCCTTTATTTATTCTATTGTAAAATGACTGCTGTTTGGCCCGCAAGCCGCTTCCCATTATACGTGTTGTAAATACAAATCATTGTGCTGTCCGTGGCCTATTATTTTCAGTGTTTTTCTTTTCATTTCATTGTAAAGGGAGGTTGGGCTCACACAAAGGGACATCAGTTAAACAAAGCCCTGACTTTTATTACTTTTAATCTGACATACAAAGCTTGTCTGTTGTTGTATATAGGAAAAGGTGTTGTTTTCTTCGTTCAGCTTTATCGATCTTTCCTCTCCAGTGAGAATGAATGTATTGATGCAGCGCACTGCTTTTCAGATCTCATGTATTGTTTAACATTTCGACATTTGGTGAAATGTAGCAGGCTAGTTCAGAAACATGAGGGATTCGGCCCTCACTGTCTACATTTAGACAGGCACACACACACTGGTGAACAGGCACACACACACTGCCTTCTCATCATCTACCCAGCTTGCGGATAGCTTCTCCACTAGTAGCTACTTCAGTATGGAAGACAACAGCCCTCGGTGGAGTGGTAGAGGTTTGTAACGCTGTAAGACCAGGAAAAATCTATGAAAGAAATGTGTTGTGCTCAAAACGGAAAGACTTCGTTTTGCTGTGTGTCAGGAAAAGTGATTTGCTGTATTGATGGTTTAATACAGAGAGCAAAGAAAAAGGAAAATCTGCCATCTTGGGTGTAGGGAAACATTGTAACACTCTGGCTCTATGGACGTTTATATTGAGCCAGGGTTGTTCATTTTCTTGTGTTTGGGTGTATTTCATTTGGTGGTGTGTGGTATGGGTGAGTTTCATTTTGTTTGTGTCATGTGGTGATTGGTCGATGACTCCCAATCGGAGGTAACGAGTGTCAGCTGTCGGCTCGTTATCTCTGATTGGGAGCCATATATATTCTGTGTGTTTTCACCTTTGTTTTGTGGGTTATTGTTTCTGTGTTGCTGTTAGTGTGTTTCAGTATTTTGAACTTCACGTATCGTCATTTGTTGTTTTCTTCGTGGTTGCTTTAATTAATAAAGTCATCATGTTCACTCGCAACGCTGCGCATTGGTCCGCTCCTTCAGACGATCGTGACAGAATAACCCACCACAAAAGGACCAAGCAGCGTAACAAGCGTGTCCAGGAGCCGAGGGTCTGGACATGGGAAGAGTTATTGGACGGAAAGGATCCTTGGGCACAACCGGGAGAATATCGCCTCCCTCGTGAAGAGCTGGAGGCAGCCAAAGCCGAGAGGAGGTGGTACGAGGAGGCAGCGCGAAGGCGAGGCTGGAAGCCCGTGGAAGAGAGGCAACCCCAAGAAATTTTTTGGGGGGGGGCACATGGCTTGGGCAGCTGGGCAGCAGGAGGCTGCCACAGGGAGAAAAGGAGAGAAGGCTAACGGAGTACGGGAGCCATTGGCGAGTGGAAGGAGGGAAGTTGTTGTGGCACGGCATGAGAGACTGAAGTGTGTTCCCAGTCTGGTCCGGTCCGTTCTTGATCCCCAGTTAAGGCCAGTGGTGGGTGTTCCCGGTACGGACCGGTCTGTTCCTACTCCACGCACCAGGTCCACGATGTGCGTCGCCAGCCCGGCCCGGCCTGTTCCGGCCACTCGCACCAGGGATAAGGTGCGCGTCGCCAGCCCAGCCCGGCCTGTTCCTGCTCCACGCACGAATCCTACGGGGTGCGTTACCAGTCGGCCAGAGTCTGCCGTCTGCCCAACGGCGCCTGAACTGCCCGTCGGCCCTATGGCGTCTGAACTGCCCGTTTGCCAAGCGCTGCATAAGCCGCCCGTCTGTACTGAGCCTGCAAAGCCGTCCGTCTGCCATGAGCCTTCAGAGCCTTCCGCCAGACAGGAGCCGCTAGAGCCTTCCGCCAGACAGAATCATACATCTGCTATGGAATCAGCAGGAGCCGACGCAGCCCATACTAGACTGGAAGCTCGGGTTCGGGACCAGGAAGAGCAGCTCCTGCAGATGGGAGCCGCCCTGCTGGAGATGTTGACTGCAATCCGAGGCTGGGGTCCGCCTCCACCGCCAGTCTCCCAGCCAGCACCATCAGCCAGCTATGAGCAGCCAGATCCGTCAGCCAGCCATGAGCAGCCAGATCCGTCAGCCAGCCATGAGCAGCCAGACCCGTCAGCCAGCCGTGAGCAGCCAGACCTGTCAGCCAGCCATGAGCAGCCAGACCCGTCAGCCAGCCATGAGCAGCCAGATCCGTCAGCCAGCCATGAGCAGCCAGATCCGTCAGCCAGCCATGAGCAGCCAGATCCGTCAGCCAGCCATGAGCAGCCAGATCCGTCAGCCAGCCATGAGCAGCCGGACCCGTCAGCCAGCCATGAGCAGCCGGACCCGTCAGCCAGCCATGAGCAGCCGGATCCGTCAGCCAGCCATGAGCAGCCAGATCCGTCAGCCAGCCATGAGCAGCCAGATCCGTCAGCCAGCCATGAGCAGCCAGATCCGTCAGCCAGCCATGAGCAGCCAGATCCGTCAGCCAGCCATGAGCAGCCAGACCCGTCAGCCAGCCATGAGCAGCCAGACCCGTCAGCCAGCCATGAGCAGCCAGATCCGTCAGCCAGCCATGAGCAGCCAGATCCGTCAGCCAGCCATGAGCAGCCAGATCCGTCAGCCAGCCATGAGCAGCCAGATCCGTCAGCCAGCCATGAGCAGCCAGATCCGTCAGCCAGCCATGAGCAGCCAGATCCGTCAGCCAGCCATGAGCAGCCAGATCCGTCAGCCAGCCATGAGCAGCCAGATCCGTCAGCCAGCCATGAGCAGCCAGATCCGTCAGCCAGCCATGAGCAGCCAGATCCGTCGTCCAGCCGGGATCCGCCAGAGCCGTCCAGCCAGGATCCGCCAGAGCCGTCCAGCCAGGATCCGCCAGAGCCGTCCAGCCTGGATCCGCCAGAGCCGTCCCGTCAGGATCCGCCAGAGCCGTCCAGCCTGGATCCGCCAGAGCCGTCCCGCCAGGATCCGCCAGAGCCGTCCAGCCAGGATCCGCCAGAGCCGTCCAGCCAGGATCCGCCAGAGCCGTCCAGCCAGGATCCGCCAGAGCCGTCCAGCCAGGATCCGCCAGAGCCGTCTAGCCAGGATCCGCCAGAGCCGTCCAGCCAGGATCCGCCAGAGCCGTCCAGCAAGGATCCGCCAGAGCCGTCCAGCCAGGATCCGCCAGAGCCGTCCAGCCAGGGTCCGCCAGAGCCGTCCAGCCAGGATCCGCCAGAGCCGTCCAGCCTGGATCCGCCAGAGCCGTCCCGCCAGGATCCGCCAGAGCCGTCCAGCCTGGATCCGCCAGAGCCGTCCCGCCGGGATCCGCCAGAGCCGTCCAGCCGGGATCCGCCAGAGCCGTCCAGCCGGGATCCGCCAGAGCCGTCCAACCGGGATCCGCCAGAGCCGTCCAGCCGGGATCCGCCAGAGCCGTCCAGCCGGGATCCGCCAGAGCCGTCCAGCCGGGATCCGCCAGAGCCGTCCAGCCGGGATCCGCCAGAGCCGTCCAGCCGGGATCCGCCAGAGCCGTCCAGCCGGGATCCGCCAGAGCCGTCCAGCCGGGATCCGACAGAGCCGACCAGCCGGGATCCGACAGAGCCGACCAGCCGGGATCCGCCATTCAGCCTGGTACTGCCCCTTAGTCCGGTGCTGCCCCTTAGTCAGGTACTGTCCCTTAGCCCGGTGCTGCCCCGTAGTCCGGTACTGCCCCTTAGTCCGGTGCTGCCCCTTAGTCCGGTGCTGCCCTTTAGCCCGGTGCTGCCCCTTAGTCCGGTGCTGCCCCTGAGTCCGGTGCCGCCCCTTAGCCCGGTGCTGCCCCGTAGTCCGGTACTGCCCCTTAGCCCGGTGCTGCCCCTTAGTTCTGTACTGCCCTTTAGTCCGGTACTGCCCCGTAGTCCGGTGCTGCCCCTTGTCCCGGTGCTGCCCCTTATCCCGGTGCTGCCCCTTATCCCGGTGCTGCCCCTTAGGCCGATGCTGCCCCTTAGTCCGGGGTTGCCCCTTAGTCCAGGTGGGGTTAGGTGGAGGGTGGTCATTGGGAGGAGGCTACCAAAGCAGGTTGTGACTGTGGTGGGGTGGGGATCACGACCGGGGCCAGAGCCGCCACCATGGACAGACGCCCACCCAGACCCTCCCCTAGTCCTGATGTTGGTGCGCCCGGAGTTCGCACCTTTAGGGGGGGGTACTGTAACACTCTGGCTCTATGGACGTTTATATTGAGCCAGGGTTGTTCATTTTCTTGTGTTTGGGTGTATTTCATTTGGTGGTGTGTGGTATGGGTGAGTTTCATTTTGTTTGTGTCATGTGGTGATTGGTCGATGACTCCCAATCGGAGGTAACGAGTGTCAGCTGTCGGCTCGTTATCTCTGATTGGGAGCCATATATATTCTGTGTGTTTTCACCTTTGTTTTGTGGGTTATTGTTTCTGTGTTGCTGTTAGTGTGTTTCAGTATTTTGAACTTCACGTATCGTCATTTGTTGTTTTCTTCGTGGTTGCTTTAATTAATAAAGTCATCATGTTCACTCGCAACGCTGCGCATTGGTCCGCTCCTTCAGACGATCGTGACAAACATGTAGAGATTCAGATTGTCAGAAACAACCTTAGAGGGACAGGTGGGAGGGATGGGTACAGGACTGGGAATGTTACATGTCATTTAGTCTTTGTCCTCATAATTTAAAATCGATAAATATAGTAATTAACCAAAACATAAAATTGGTGTCTGCATTGTATCTTAAAAGCACAAGCAACAAATCTACACATTTGCAAAACATTCCTTTATTATAAATAAATCATTTGTATAAAAACTGGCATGCTTCAACCAGGGCATTTACAGATTCACAACCCTGGGCTACCCATCCAGTTAGCCGATCGATACAAGAGACAAACTTTCTGAGTATGCAAGGTCGCACGACAGCTGGGACAAGAATTAAAAACTCTTCACAACCACAAAAATACTTACAAGTAGAATAACAATAAACATCATGGTCGATTCTCGTAGTTTCTTCTATTATCTCTTTTAATTATTTTTAATTTTTAAACTCTTTTAATGTATTTTTATCTCCCTTATGTATAACTTTTACACCGTTTTGTTTTGTTTTGTTTTTCTTATTTTTTCTTCCTTTTTTTCTCTGGACCATAGAGCCTGCAGAGATTTTTGAAGTCTCTTTTTTTTCACAGTTAGTTCAAAGTTCATGGCAGGACCGTTGTGCTGTGATTTGCAGGAAGAGAGCGAACGGAGCCCACTGATTGGTGGTTGATCTTTGTGGTCCCGCCTCTCTGGTGGTTGTAGGGTTGATGCTGTCAGAACAATATAAAATGTCTCATGCTTGGTTACCGGTGTCGGTGGGAGCTCCGTCTGTCTGTCCATCTATTTGTCCGTCAGTCCGTCATCTGTCTGTCTGAGTGACAGCTCTTCTCCTCAGCTGTTCTCGCCCCTGGGGACCCTCCCGCCACTCTGGTGCTGTTCAGATGTTCAGATGGCATGATTACTGTAGCTAACATATGTTGTCTTAGTTGATGAAGCTGCCAGAGGGGAAAAGAGGGGAAGAGAGGAGAATAAATATATCAGGGGATATATATTTCCTATTGACAGTAATATTAGTGCACACTAATGCGTCTGGGGTCTGAGGCTGTGTTTTGTCAAGTCCATTATGTTACACGTCCCCTGTAGCTGTTGGTTGTAAATGTCATTTGTTTTTAAGCGACCAGGGACCGCTGGCGCTGAGCTATTGTCAAGACGGTCCCATGTGCCCGCCTTGTTAAGGAGGATTTAAAAAAGAGACAATATGTCACACTGTAGGAATCAAAACTGTTCCAACAGTTTCTTCTTCACACAACACAAACCCTAGGCAGTTAGTATTAGAAAATAATGCCTCAGGCAGACTGTGGTTTGTGAAACTTAACTCTGTATGAGTCCAGACAGCAGTTTGTGCCAATGAGGGAATAGATGAGCAGTGACCCGTGCTATGTGTTGTGTTGTGTTGTGTGTGTGTGTGCATGCGTGTGTGATCACATGCATGTGTGTTATTGTGTGTTATTCTAGCCGACCAAACTGCTGACTGTGAGACTTCTGGGCATACAGGTCTGTAATGAAGAAATAGTTAAACCTGCTCCAGCTCAGAACACAGAACACAGTATATGAAGCCTAATTACTCCAAACATTCCAGAACCTTCTCAACCTCTCAGAACACCCAAATCAACTCTGTGATAAAATAAGTGTTTTAAACACCCACTGAAAATTCTGAATCTCCACTGGAGAAAGAAGAACAATTCCAGGTCGTAGTGTTGATGAGGCACGATTGGCTCCACACACAACAAAGCTTTGAAGTTTACGTAAGCTGCTCCACATAGTTAAGTTGAATGGGAAGCTCATGTTAACACTCTGTATGTGAAGCAAAGAATTGTGCTAAAAAAACAGGCACTCAAGCTGCTCTATCAAGAACATTGTTTACAGTTCAGACATTACATTTTCGCTATTGAAAGTACTGATATTTGAATGAGAGTCATATGAAAAAGGACCCAACCTACATTTACGTCATTTAGCAGACGCTCTTATCCAGAGCGACTTACAGTTAGTGGATACATAATATTTGTTTTATACTGGCCCCCCGTGGGAATCGAACCCACAAACCTGCCGTTGCAAACGCCATGCTCAACCAACATCCCTGCCAGCCATTCCCTCCCCTACCCTGGGCCAATTGTGCGCCGCCCCATGGGTCTCCTGGATTCGAACTAGGATCTCTAGAGGCACAGCTAGCACTGCGATGCAGTGCCTTAGACCACTGCGCCACTCGGGAGGACATGTAACTACTGTTATACTGTAGTTGTAGAGATTATCAAAAGGTTGTTTATATCAGTGTAGTTGTATAGATTATCAAAGTTGTGTGTTAGTGTAGATCTATGGATTAGTGTTTTTAAGTGTATAGATTATTCGTTATATTAGTGTAGATCAAGGATCATCAACTAGATTCAACTAGCCGCGGGCCGATTTTTTCTTGAGCGGATGGTCGCGGGGCCGGTACATAATTACAAATAATTTGTAGACTGCAAATTGACCGCAAGAAGCCTAAACAGATATAATATTTGACTAAAACATAACCATTTCAAACCTTGCTTACATTTGTATATGATCACGTGTCTACTATGCGTGGGAATACTTGGCAACAGATTTCTTAAAATAAAATCACTTGGATATGATTTCCTGGTATTTTGACAGTCTTTTATGTCCAACAATTAAAATTCAATTAACATTATTATTATTTTTTACTTGGGGGACCAAATAAAACCACCCGCGGGCCAAATTCAGCCCATGGGCCGTCAGTTGGGGAACCCTGGTGTAGATGTATTTATGCATACCATTAGTATAGATGTATACAGTATATCATTAGATATAGAAGTGTATTATGTATAGGTTAGTAAAGGTGTGTTCTTACTCACTGTTGGTCTCCATGCTCTCACACAGCTCCGTCTTGACCTCTCCATTGGGCCGGTCGCCTCCCTTCTGCAGCTTGCCTGACATGGTGGCGGCGGTGACGATGGCCTTGAAGCTGCGTTTACGCTTGGGGATGTTCTGCTCCGGGTGGAAGATGATGACGTAGACCTTGGGCATGTACAGCATCCCCAGAGAGACAGAGGCGCTGAGACTGAGGGAGATGGTCAGGGTGGTGGTCTGAATGTACATCTGGAGAGGGGAGAGGGGAGAGGGGGGGGAACGAGGGAGGGAGGGAGAAGAGAGAGCGAGAGAGTAGATGCATCAATATACTGTAACCATTCTACAAGTGAAATAGACATTCTGCTAGTGTTGCCCTTTTTCTAAAACTATACACTGGCAGAAACTAAACACTAACAACTGTACACCGACCAGACACTGATATAAACCATACGCTGACATAAACCATACGCTGATATAAACCATACGCTGACATAAACCATATGCTGACATAAACCATACGCTGACATAAACCATACGCTGACATAAACCATACGCTGATACAAACCATACGCTGATACAAACCATACGCTGATACAAACCATACGCTGATACAAACCATACGCTGATATAAACCATACGCTGATATAAACCATACGCTGATACAAACCATACACGGATATAAACCATACACTGGCTACTGTACTTTGTCAGAAATTATACTTGACAAAACCCCTATTGTATCGTATCACTGAGTGGAGGCTTCATCAGAAATAAACACAAACATGCGCAAGCACACACGCACGCACACACACAAACACACACACCCATCCACCATCGGAGAGATTCCTCTCAAAGCGCAGCCACTCATCTGTGTCCATCCCTGACTATAGTGTGGCGTAGGAATCCCAGCTAGCAGATGGCCAGTCACGCTTCTTCAGTCACAACAACACAACACAGCCCCGGCTAACCAGCGTAGCGTTCCGCTGAGGAGGCAAAGAAACCAGTGATCAACCACCCCACCCCCTCCCTCGCCAAGAGAGAACAGGCGTGAACAGATTACACATGTCGACAGTAATACCAAGTTACAATATATCCTCTCTAATGAGATAATCTGTAAAGAAGATGAGAGAAGGCTTAGACGTTGAAGTGTGTGTGTAGAGTGGTGGAAATTATCCAAACATTATGTTGAATATAAAAATAAACTACATTCATCAATCTGACTCTATTTTCATGTGAATGCTATAGGCCCATAATCATATCCAGTGGGTATAGCCAAGGTTGCGAGCCTTACGTCACCACTCTGAATAATATAAGATACACGTGTCTAGGTTTACCGTTATGCAAAGAGGCTAAGGGACAAGGAGCTAATATCTTGCAATCAATGTCCTACCATTTAATGATTGAGTTAACCTTAGATCAGAGATGCATAGCTGTCACGCCCTGGCTCTGGGGACTATTAAATGTTGAGCCAGGGTGTGGATTTTCCTTGTATAGTTTTCTATGTTTTTCGTTCTAGTTCGTGTATTTCTATGTTGGCCAGGGTGGTTCCCAATCAGAGACAGCTGTAGCTCGTTGTCTCTGATTGGGGACCATACTTATGCAGCCTGTTGGCACATGTTTATTGTGGGATCTTGTTCCGGAAGGTTTGTGTTCAACCCAGGACTTCACGTATCGTTTGTTTTGTTGTTTTGGTTCGTGTTGTGTACTGAAATAAAAGAATGTACGCATATCAGGCTGCGCCTTGGTCCGCTTCATCTAACGACGATCTTGACAGAAGATCCCACCTCGACTGGATCAAGCAGCGTGACGAGGAGAGAGGATGGACGTGGGAGGAGATGAGTGAGAGTCTGGCAAGAGGGATGGAGGCCATGTTCACGGGGGAGAGACAAGCCCCAAAAATGTTTAGGGGGGGGCTCACACTGTGGACGGCGAGGCAGCGGGAGGCCGCGATAGAGCGGTTCGGCAGGTTAGCAGAGGAGGCCGCCAGGTTACGGGGGCCACTGGTCACGAGGGAGAAGGAGAGTGTGGAGGCACGGCGAGAGGAACTGAGTAGGCAGCAGAGGGAGCGGAGGTTTATGAGGAAACCCAGTCCCGCTCCTCGCACCAAGCAAGTGGTGTGTGTCACCAGTCCGGTCCGGCCCGTTCCTGATTCCCGCACAAGGCCAGTGGTGTGTGTTCCCAGTACGGTCAGGCCCGTTCCTGCTCCCCGCACCAAGCCAATGGTGCGCGTCGCCAGCCCGGTCTGGCCTGTTCCTGCTCCCCGCACCAAGCCAATGGTGCGCGTCGTCAGCCCGGTCCGGCCTGTTCCTGCTCCCCGGACTAAGCAAATGGTGCGCGTCGCCAGCCCGGTCCGGCCTGTTCCTGCTCCCCGCACCAAGCCAATGGTGCGTGTCGTCAGCCCGGTCCGGCCTGTTCCTGCTCCCCGGACTAAGCAAATGGTGCGCGTCGCCAGCCCGGTCCGGCCTGTTCCTGCTCCCCGCACCAAGCCAATGGTGCGCATCGCCAGCCCGGTCCGGCCCGTTCCTACTCCCCGCACCAAGCCAATGGTGCGCGTCGTCAGCCCGGTCCGGCCCGTTCCTGCTCCCCGCACCAAGCCAGTGGTGCGCGTCGTCAGTCTGGCACGGTCCGTGCCTGGTCCGGCACCGGTCAGCTGCTCCACGCCGGAGCCAGAGCAATCAGCTCCACCGGTGTTCAGTCCAGCTCCGGCCAGCGGGGCCAGACCAGACCAGGGGCGCAACGGGGGGGTAGGGAGAGTGTGGTGGTGTGGATTTTCCTTGTTTAGTTTTCTATAATTTTCGTTCTAGTTCGTGTATTTCTATGTTGGCCAGGGTGGTTCCCAATCAGAGACAGCTGTAGCTCGTTGTCTCTGATTGGGGACCATACTTATGCAGCCTGTTGGCACATGTTTATTGTGGGATCTTGTTCCGGAAGGTTTGTGTTCAACCCAGGACTTCACGTATTGTTTGTTTTGGTTCGTGTTGTGTACTGAAATAAAATAATGTACGCATATCACGCTGCGCCTTGGTCCGCTTCATCTAACGATGATCTTGACAATAGCATAGAGACCAAGCATATATGCTATGTATATTGTGAATAACATTTACCATTAGACATTTCACCAAACAATAATTCAAGGAATATTACTCAGAAATGTGAGGACTATGGTTCGTATCCATTTAAAAGTAAGCAGAATTATTACAGTTACACCATAAGAATACAATTAACAGATGATACACACCAGAAATCTTCGCGATAAAAATAATACAAAATATCCTATGTCTTAACAGCATAGACATTTTACCACTATGACATACAAAACGTACATCAGGAGTTTGGTTTACCAATAACTACATTATCTAAATATTTTATTCTTCCAAGAGTGCCAACTCCCAGTATCTCCTATCGTCTCATTAACATCACTTTGCATGGCCCAAAACATTAAAACAAAAGGCATAACACTTCACACATTCTCTAGTCTAATCACCACACCTCAACACTGTATGATAAGTGCACACATCTGTGTCGCTCCTCTCTGAACTATCCGCCGTCAAGCGTACAGAATAACACAGTTTCTCTGTAACAATAAATCCATAGCACTTACAGTACAATGAAACATATCAAAATTCATAGCTCTTTATTAACTCTTGAAACAATGCGAACATGACAATTTTATTCACACAGTAACATTAATTTTGTCGATTAAAGTTTCATCAGTCTTCACCTCTCCTGGCTTCAGTGACCCTAGGACTTCTGTGGGATGTCTCTTCATTGAGATTGCCACAAGGTGTTTGACCCCTATGATAGCCAACAGATGGTCTGTCATTCAAACAATGCCATACATTGTGATCGAGTCATCACGCTGGGCCAGCAAGTTGCTAGAGGCATCTTCATCACTGGCCTTCATCATCGTTCACATTTGTTAATTCTCTCTATTTCCAACTATGTGTCTGTCTGTATGTATGTATGTGTGTGTGTGTGTGTGTGTGTGTGTGTGTGTGTGTGTGTGTGTGTGTGTGTGTGTGTGTGTGTGTGTGTGTGTGTGTGTGTGTGTGTGTGTGTGTGTGTGTGTGTGTGTGTGTGTGTGTGTGTGTGTGTTTGTGTACATATGCATGCGTGTGTACAGTGTGCTCTGACAATGTACTAACGGTGTTGACTGGAACACATCTCTAGGCAGGCCTTGAGGCCTGTGTGACATGACTTCGGCATGGCAGCAGTATGAACTGTGTGTCAGTGTGTGTCAGCTAGCGTTAGCGTTATAAGTGTGAGTTAGCTAGCGGGCTAATATGATACTTCATTAGCCGTAACAGGATAGGTACTGTTTGGCATAGCACAGAGAATTTTCAACAAACCTTAACTTGCCGATACTATCTTTGTTAGGCCAAACATGTATCTTCTTAAATGCCCGTGTCCAGTTGGAGGTGGTTCGTTTGAATTGAGAAAATACTGTGTTATTAAAATAAATACATGTTTTGATTCATGAAGCAATCCAACAATCTGCACACTGACATCTTGTCTATTTCAAATCTTCTCTCATTGATTGAGACAGCTGAGTGTCATCATGACATGCTGCACTTTAGGGTAGACTCACCTGTCTCAATCAATGAGAGAAGATTTGAAATAGACAAGATGGCGGCATACACATTGTTGAATTACTTCATGGAGCAAAACATTTTCAAAATTCTAACGAACCACCTACAACTGGTCACAGACATTTAAAAAAATATATGTTTGGCGAATCGAGAACAAAGATAGTATCGAAAATTCTCTATGCTACACCAAACAGTACCTATCCTGTAACGCCTAATGGAGCATTATATTAGCCCGTTACAATCTGCTAGCTACAGGTAACTGCCAAAATAATGAAAACACTAAATGAGGGATACAAAGCAGGTGCTTCTACACAGGTGTGGTTCCTGAGTTAATTAAGCAATTAACATCCCATCATGCTTAGGGTCATGAATAAAAATGCTGGGCAGGCCAATATTTTGACTACCATGGCTATGCCCTCATAGGATGACAATGCCCCCATCCACAGGGCATGAGTGATCACTAAATGGTTTGATGAGCATAAAAATGATGTAAACCATATCCCATGGCCATCTCAGTCACCAGATCTCAACCCAGTTGAACACTTATGGGAAACCTGGAGCGGCGCCTGAGACAGCGTTTTCTACCACCATCAACAAAACACCAAATGATGGAATTTCTCATGGAAGAATGCTGTGAGGGTAGAATCTATGTGTGAGCAGCTCCTCAATGCCAGCTAGGTTTGACTCTTATAGCAGGTCACCCTGTTAACTAAGCTCTCTGTCCCTGTGACATCACTCTCCTCTCACATCAGCTCTGGAGAGTACATATCGTACCAACACAACAGCAGCTGCCTACAGGGAGAATAAGGCTAGAGAACACACCATTGGGCATTTATGCAGTAGGTGCTACTCATACAGACTAAGGTAGGGAAGAATCCTACCAAAAAACGACCACTTCATTCAAACTGTCACTGTCTCCCACCGACATCGGCGCATGACTAAGGGACATTTTGATTTAGAGCAATACTTTTGGTGCACTATATGTAGAGAATAGGCTGCCATTTGGGATTTGCCCCAATTCCCTCTTCATTGACTCATTAAATGCTTGTCCAACGACATGGACACTCAACTCCTAATATTTGATCTGAGTTTATCTTCACAACGGTCTGTGTTATCTACTTTAATAGGATATAGAGCAGCTACAGCTGTAGATTACAGCAGAAGGAGCCCTGGGTGAACGTGGGCAGAGAGAGCAGAGCACTGACAGGACGGTGTGCACATACAGAGAGAGATCTCCTCCGATGAGAATTGTTGTCAGAGAAAGAGAGAAAGAGAGGGGAAGGGAGCAGAGAAAGAGAGGGGAGGAGGGAGAGGGGAGAAAGATAGAGAAAGAGAGAAAGGAAAGGGGGAGTGATGGGGAGAATGAAAAAGACAGAGGTAGAAAGACAGTAAAAGAGGGAGAAAGAGAGAAAAAACTGAGACCAAGAAAGAAAAAAAAGAGCAAGAGAGGCATTCCTCAGAGCACTAAGCCCTCCATTATAAAAGCAGCAGCAGGTCTGGAGATAGCAGACTCCATTACACTCTGCTGAAAGCAGGGAGGATCCACCCAGCAGATGTTAGCTGTATAGCCACACACGCACGCACGCAAACACACACAAACACACAAACACACACACACACACACACACACACACATACTATCCCTCTCTCCCTCCCTCCCTCCCTCCCTCCCATCTCCCCTCCATCTCTCCCTTGCTGTGCAGGTATGGTAGGAGGAAATGGAAAATATGTGTTTTAGTGGGGCTGACCCGCTGTGAACTGTGTGTATATTTGCGGCCTCTACCAAAGTCACAGAGAAGAGGGTGATTAGCTCCACTCTGCTAGCCACCACTGCTCTCCATCCTATGGTATGTAGTTGTCTTTAGAGAAGTCAATAGACTAGGCTTTATGTTATTACCTCCATCCATAACCATCACTTAAACCCCTGTGTTGTTACTCTGCTGCTGCTGGGACTGACTGGGGTCATTCATCCATTTTCAGTTTTATAAGACAATAAAACACATATTTTATAAGGCCTTATTTTGAAGGCCTAGTTTTACCATAATACAGTGGCATGAAATGCATGGTTTACAGCCACATCAGGCCTGTAAGTCACATTATGCTGGCTTGCAAAGTGAAGCGAAATTCCCATTGGAATCCAGCCAGAGTGGGGATGTCCAACATTGTGAAGTTTTATTTACCAGCAACCTGCATTAAGAGTGACCAACAGGTTGGGAAGGCTAAGCTATGACACTACCTAAACCATCTAAACTAGAACAATCCTTTCAGTAATGGGTGCAATAAATCCAAGTAACAGATTGGATTAGTTTAGGAAAATGTATGTTATTTATATTTGAGTAGCATAAGGTTAATTAATGAATCAATGTACTTGCAAAAAGATATTGAAACAAACTATCAACCTGCAATACAGCATGCTGGGAAATATGATAATGAGAGACTTGGGTTTTTTACACCAATGGGGTTCTTCTACACCAATGAGTGTTAATTAAACACTTAGAGACTAGAAATGTTACACTGAAAAATCAACACTATGCAACACTGGCCAATTTTCTGTGCAACTACTATTGAGAGTTTCTTAATATGTGATGTAATTGAAATTCACTTTTTACACTACAGAAGCTGAACCCTCTACACATGGTAAGTGCATGGCATCTATTTGTGCAACCTCTGTCTAGATTCAGATGTCAATTACATCATATGACCATAAGATTATATCAACATCAACAATGAAGTGTATGTTTATACAGACACTAGGGTATAGAGGTTGTCTCAATTGTCTATAGTGTGTTCCCTTGGACAGTGTGTTAAGCTTCTCCATCACATGGCCATTACCATAAGGGGAGTGGGAGAAAGGGACTGTGCGTTTCAAGTGCACTAAGTCCCTATTGAACAACAGATTACTGTGCAGAAGGGCACTCCTCCTCAACACGTATTGTCCCTCATTAGGACGCCTACTTCTCCAGCCAGCCTGTTCAAGCTGTCAACAAAGGTCTGTGACACATGCATGCATACACACACATATGCACAGATGCACGTGCGCACAGACACACACACACGTATGCACACACACACTTCATTGCTCCCAGCTTCATCCAGCTTGTAGTGGTATTTCAGTGTTCTGTGTCAGTAGTAGTACTCTCCCTGGGGTTGTAATGCTACACACTCTATTAGTAAACCTGGTTGCTCTCAGGCCTGATTGATACAACAATACATTCACCATTACATGTGCTCTCACGCTACTATGCACAATCTGACATGTAATATTAAATATGTTGTCACGTACTGTTACATATGCTCTAACAATTAAATAGCCTATACTTTCACGTGTACTACTACATATGTACGTAAGCTGTCACATGTACTACTACAGTATATAATGTACACTCTCACATGTACTCATCATGACCAAAGCAATGGAGGGAGCCAAGAAATCTAAGCGCTCCAGACCATAGAATTACCAACATGGACAGCTGTAGTTGGCTACAACAAGCTCAAAGCACAGCGAGAGAGGAGATGTTGCATTAAGGAGATGTATTTTTCTCCTTGACTGAACTAAGTACAAAATATGTCCGCTCTGACCCCACAGCGCTGTGTGGGTGATATGATGAAGTGTTAGAGAGAGAGAGAGAGGTATGTCAAATCAATCAAATCTAATTTTATTTGTCACGTGCCGAATACAACATGTGTAGACTGTGATAGGGTTACTTACGAGCACTTTCCCAACAATGCAGAGTTAAAAAGTACGAACAATTTGCTAAATAAAAAAAGGAAATAGTAATAAAATAGTTTTTTACAATCACTTTGGCACAAATTTCAGAACCTTGACGTCATTTTTCAAAACTCTAAACACAAAACTCACAACCAATGATCAAAATGCACATTTTTCAAAACTCTAACACTTTTTTCAATTGCTTGGATACAATACACATAAAACTAAGATCATTTGTTCATTTAACAAAAATCACCTGTTCAATATGACACAACTTAACATCAAAGTACTACTATTTCAAAAGGCAATTCACACATTACATTTCAGATGAGTCAAAATGTCTATTCATTTCATTACAATTATCCAACTATCAATTGATACAACTGCTCAAAATGATAAGTAACTGTTGCATTACTCTTAATGCATAGTTGTATGGAAACAGACAAACAATATACAATATTCCATGTTTAGATCATGAAAGTTTCAAGATAACGAGATTCATTGTCACCAATTAGCGTGGAGCATGAACCAATTAGACTACATTATCTATGGATGTAATATTTCATCATCATTCTTTATCAGACATCGTTTCTATGGTCCCATGTGCCACCTTTTCAGACTATTTACAGTATTGACAGTACTGCACTGTATGGATGCAGGCCCTTGTAATTGCTTGTCCAATTCTGCCAACTCGTTACTGATGATTGAGTTCACATTGTGGAACGAGTATATAAAGAATTGATTGGGATCCACTTGCAACAACATAGCGATACGTACTGTAACATGGAGCCGGCAGGTGATCCAGGTCACAATAGAGGTCAAGCAGTGGTGGGAGGAAGACGAGGAAGACGTGTTGGTCAAAGGAATGGCAGGGGACAATCACCCCTTCTGAGAGGTGGTCGTGGGCCTCGTTTGAGAGGTGTGGGGGAACGTGGTAAAGGACAAGGCCACGGACCAAGACAGCAACAGCAAAGAGTGTCCAATGAAATCCGAGCAATAGTTGTAGACCATGTCATAAATTATGGCATGACAATGACTGAGGCGGCTACAATGATAAAACCAAACCTCAGAAGGTCAACCGTGGCCTCAATAATCAGAACGTTCCGCAATGAGAACCGGTAAGTCGTCAGCATGCACTAAACATGATGCTACTCTCAATTGTCAAATGACTGCATATCAATGTGTGACATAGAGTAGGTGATGTGACCAAGTGTCTTCTTACTGTAATGTTCCCTGTAGAATTGAGACTAGGCCAAATAGGGGAGGCAGAGGCAAAATTCTGACTGACCAACAAGAGCAGGCTGTGGTCGATTTGGTTCGGGCCAGAAATGATATTCGCCTTACAGAAATTTGCCAGCATATCTTGGACAATGAAGACATGTTTAACAATGTGGAATCCATAAGTTTGCCGACTATTGCACGCATGCTGAAAAGGCACCAGGTGGCTTTAAAACAACTATACCGTGTGCCTTTTGAAAGAAATGCAGACAGAGTGAAGCAAATGAGGACTGAGTATGTTCAGGTATGTTCAGTTTCTAGATGGCTGTTGTAATAAAATTCCCTAATAATTCTACATTGTACAGTAATCAGTAAATCTCTTTCCAAAATGTATTTTTAGAGGGTGATGGAGCTTGATGCTGATGACAACCATCACAAATTCATATATTTGGATGAGGCAGGCTTTAACCTGGCCAAGACAAGGAGGAGAGGTCGGAATTTCATTGGCCAGCGGGCAACCATTCAAGTACCTGGACAACGTGGGGCCAACATTACCATGTGTGCGGCTATATCAGAAGATGGTGTGGTGGGACGCAGACCTCGTATTGGATCATATAATGCAGCTCTCCTTGTAACCTTCCTTAATGAGCTCGATCAGATCTGTAGAGCTGATGGCGTGACCTATGTCATTGTGTGGGATAATGTCAGGTTCCACCATGCTCATATGGTGCAAGCATGGTTTCAGGCCCATGCACAATTTACCACCCTGTATTTACCCCCATACTCTCCTTTCCTTAACCCGATTGAGGAATTTTCTCCACATGGAGATGTAAGGTTTATGATGGGCGCCCTCATGAACAAGTCACTCTTCTCCAGGCCATGGATGACACATGTAATGACATCACGGTAGACCAGTGTCAGGCCTGGATTCGCCATGTCCGAAGGTTTTTTCCAAGATGTTTGGCTAATGAAAACATAAATAAAAAATAGGTCATTTAGCAGACGCTCTTATCCAGAGCAACTTACAGGAGCAATTAGGGTTAAGTGCCTTGCTCAAGGGCACATCGACAGATTTTTCACCTAGTCAGCTCGGGGATTAGAACCAGCGACCTTTCGGTTACTGGTACAACGCTCTTAACCACTAAGCTACCTGCCGCCCCATTGTGATGTATACATCCATTGTGATGTAGATGAGAACCTGTGGCCAAATCCACAAGACAGAGTTGATGAAAATGTAGAAGTACAGTAATCACTCCAATGTTTTGCTTTTTACAGTACAAGCAAGCAAGTTGAGGAACACTGTATTTGATGTTTTACAGTACTGTATTGTTTTTCATCAATATATTTCAGATTTTGTTCAATGATTCCACTGTGTCTGGAATATTCTCTCTACTACTGCAGTACTTTTACAGGGATGTATTTACATGTAGTACCATAATGAAACATGTATTACCTATTTTGTACTACAATATTTAATGATTGTACGAACAATGACACAGTTAAACTATCGGTTGCTTGTGTGTGGGTGATCTAAATTAACGTTTCATTGGTATTTCACAATAAATTTGTTTTTTGAACCAATGATTGTGCAAGTGCAAGATTTCTTTAAAGATATGAATGCACAATGCAATGTTTTGAACATTGGACAGCCTGTGTTACAAGTGATGACCGTTTTGAGTTTTGTGTCTAGAGTTTTGAAAAATGACGTCAAGGTTCTGAAATTAGTGCCAAAGTGATTGTAAAAACTGTAAATAACAATTACAAGGCTATATACAAGGAGTACCGGTACCGAGTCAATGTGCAAGGGTACGAGGTAGTTGAGGTAATTTAGTGAATATGCACATGTAGGTAGAGGTAAAGTGACTAGGCAATCAGGATACTGTAGATAATAAACAGAGTAGCAGTAGCGTATGTCAAGAGTGTGAAAGTGTGTGTGTGTGTGTGTGTGTGTGGGGCGTTAATATTAATGGGTGTGCTTTTTGTGTGTGTGACTGTATGTAGTGTGTGCGTGTGTGTGTGTGGGGCGTTAATATTAATGGGTGTGCTTTTTGTGTGTGTGTGTGTTGTAATGTCAGTGTAGTATGTGTGGGTAGAGATTTGGCACTCCGGTACCGCTTGCGTGCGGTAGCAGAGAGAACAGTCTATGGCTGGAGTCTTTGACAAATTTTAAGGCCTTCGTCTGACACCTCCTGGTATAGAGGTCCTGGATGGCAGGGAGCTCTGCCCCAGTGATATACTGGGCCGTACGCACTACCCATTGTAGCACCTTACGGTCGCATGCCAAGCAGTTGCCATACCAAGTGGTGATGCAGCCAGTCAAGATACTCTCAATGGTACAGCTGTATAACTTTCTGAGAATCTGAGGGCCCATGCCAAATGTGTGTGTGTGTCTGCGTTTGTGTGTGTGCGTTAGCTCTCTGGATGGCCGGACACACACACTAAATATTACATGCCCTCTAACCTGAGAGAGAGTGCCTGTCCAGTCTCACCACTCCCAGTGTGTGATGGGCTTTAAAAAAGCAGCATTTTTAATGCTCAATATTGCATTACTACATCACAGTTCAGGCACTACGGTTTGGGTTTGGAGCGAAGAATCTCAGGGAAGACAGGCACACTAAAGCGTGGTGCATTTCTGGAACTAAGCATTCCGCAGAATTATGAATTCCATTCCATCGCGCTCCAATTCCAAAACTCGTCCTTGACTTCTACGCTTAGCTGTGACAAGTGACCAACCAGATGACACGTGCTGTGCTCTCTCACCCCCCTCCTCTCTCTTTCTCTTTCTTTCTGCGCCTCTCTCTCACTGACCCCCCCCCCCTCCCCCGCACGCGTGCGCACACAGTGGTGGAAAAAGTACCCAATTGTCATACTTGAGTAAAAGTAAAGATACATTAATAGAAAATTACTCAAGTAAAAGTTAAAGTCACCCAGTAAAATACTACTTGAGTAAAAGTATAAAAGTATTTGGTTTTAAATATACTTAAGTATCAAAACTAAATGCCATTGCTAAAATATACTTAAGTATCAAAAGCAAAAGTAAAAGTACAAATCATTTCACATTCCTTTTATTAAGCAAACCAGGGGGCACTATTTTCTCGTATTTTTTTTAAATATATTAGATAGCCAGGGGCACACTCCAACACTTAGACATAATTTACAAACTAAGCATTTGTGTTTAGTGAGTCCGCCAGATCAGAGGCAGTAGGGATGACCAGGGATGTTCTCTTGATAAGTGAGTGAATTGGACCATATACCTGTCAAAATGTAACGAGTACTTTTGGGTGTCAGGGAAAATGTCTGGAGTAAAAAGTACATTATTTTCTTTAGGAATGTAGTGAAGTAAAAGTTGTCAAAAAATATAAATAGTAAAGTATAGTATAAATACCCCCAAAAAACGACTTATGTAATACTTTAAATATTTTTACTTAAGTACTTTACACCACTGCGCGCACATGTGAGCGCTCGTTGTCATTTACCATCCTAATGCTTCCCTGGTTCCAGTAATGAGTTTAGGCGTCCTTGGGATGGCCTGTCCTAAAAGGGCTTTTATGAGTAAGCTGGCTTTATTGAGCACCTGAGGATCCTAAACTTATTCAGACTGCCATTTGGAGTCACCTCCTCCTATCCCCCTCTCCCTCTCTCTCTCTCTCACCAGGGGACAAATCCTCTCTCAGTCAGTCTTAAAGTCTAATTACAAGATGTGGGAGGGACAGGGACAGTGGATGGGTCACAGCAGATAGTTAATTCAAGGCATCCTTCTTCTCCTCAATTAGAACTTTCTGTACAAGTGACAATTCCAGTTGGACTACTCCCGTATGACACCTTTGTTCCAAAACTATTGAATACATATGATGCCACCATGGAGTCAAAGGCAAAATTCCACATTATGTGGACAATAACGTTTTCTATTCAATTCTATGATCATAATGAGGATCATAATGAGGATCCGGGTTCCTTCCTAATGGTTAACAAGAACACAGCTTACTGGCGAACCAACAAAAATAATCCCTATAATAACAGTAATTGTAACAGAATCAATTGTTCATTAATTATAGTAATCAACGCATCTCCCTCAAGCCCACTATCTTCAAATCCAACAGTATTTCCTGTCGTTAAAGCTAATGTTAATCCTCTGATTGAGATAGCATTGATCTTGTCTAATGGACTCACTGGGTCTGCTCTCACTCCTTATGTAAGGAAAGCCTTCAACATTCAGTACAGGGTGAAAACAAGTCCAATCCCCAAGTTAAAACTCACACAACAACAAGTCATGGTAAACAAGCTAAGAGTTTTTCTCAAATCCGCTTAGCATCTTTAATTCAGCCTCATTTCATATTGCCTTCTAAATCAACATGATCTAATTATGAGTGGCTATATTTTGCTCAGTTGGCCTATTAACTAGATCTCTACCACAGGTTGTGGACACACGTCCCCAGACGACTCTGTGTGAGACAGAGTGACGTGACAGCACAATAAGTCTGGGCATGGCCGACGTTCGTTATAGTGTTTCTTGTCCTTTACTCTCACAGGTCTGACATTTGTGATGTGCTACACTGTGGTTCCAGTTCTGCTCTCTTTGTGCAGTTCTGATCTGTTCTGTTCTGTCTTGTCACAGCCGGATAGTGTAGCAGCATTGTCTCTCTGCTGCTGTCCCAGGTGTATCACTACATTATCAGTGTGATAGAAGTGAGGATGACATACATCTGTTTCTCTGAATCACATGACATTTTTTAACATTTTCGTCATTTAGCAGACGCTCTTATCCAGAGCGACTTACAAATTGGTGCATTCACCTTATGATAGCCAGTGGGACAACCACTTTACAATATGTTATTTTTTTCTCTCTTTGGGGTGGGGTAAGGGGGGGTGGAAGGATTACTTTATCCTATCCCAGGTATTCCTTAAAGAGGTGGGGTTTCAAGTGTCTCCGGAAGGTGGTGAGTGACTCCGCTGTCCTGGCGTCGTGAGGGAGCTTGTTCCACCATTGGGGTGCCAGAGCAGCTAACAGTTTTGACTGGGCTGAGCGGGAACTGTGCTTCCGCAGAGGTAGGGGGGCCAGCAGGCCAGAGGTGGATGAACGCAGGATGAACGCAGTACACACACACACACACACACACACAAACGACTCAGTAGTCCCCCAGCCATTAGGCAGGCTGATGGGCCTGATGGGTCTGGCACTGCCACCAGACATGCACACACACACACACGCACACACACACGCGCACACGCACACACACACACACACACACATCCACATACACACACCCACACACAAGGGGCCTGTTGCCAACGAACGCAGGTAGGACAAAAACTCTCTCACACCCTCCCCATAAACTCCCCATACTTTCACATACTCACCCACTCACCTCACATGTCACCATACACCTTCCACAAACTCTCACAGACCTAAAATTAGGGCAGGTGAGTCATAAAAAGTGCTAGGTCACTATATCCTCCTGTACAGTATCTTACTGGTAGCAGGAGCCAGAAGGCAGCATGCTGTACTGTGCTGTTACTGATCTGCCATGTCCTGTGATTTGACACACAAACACACACACACACACACACATACACACAAACACACTGATTTGACTCCTCCTGTAACTTCCCAGAATTATCCCTCTGAATCGTCCCAGTCATGCAGTCAGCCTCCGTAATGTGCTTGACATTTCCAATATGTCTCGTCTGCAGAATGAGTGAAAAGAACAATAACAACCGTTTTAGGGGAACATTCAGGAAATGTTCAAAAAAATGTATTCTGTTGTCAAAGTCGTTCAGTAAAGGCAATGTAAAATGAGTGCTCCCCATTGTTGCCTTAAAAGAGTTTGGGTTTCGTTCTCCCAATGTGAATGCGTGTCGTATATGCGTTTGTATGTTTTGTTTCGAGGGTGTGTGTGTGGGGGGTTTGTCCCCCATGGTGTAGTCTGCTGCATCTCTGTGTTTGATGGTGGGATCTGACACTGTCTCCTACTACTGAAGTTTGCGAGGAATGTTCCAAATCCCATCAGAATTGTTTAACTACTGTGCACAAAATATTCAGTTTAAAAAATGAATGGAGCTTTTTCAATGTGTTTCTGTACATGTGATCATACAATACAGAGAATTCCTAGATGCTGTATGAAAATGGCAGACATCATGATATCTACATCAAACAAAACTAGGCCGATAATGCCTAGCCTAGCGTGTGTTTGTGCATGATTAGTTGTGTCTGGACTGATACAGTACCCACAATAGTGCACAAACAGTACAACTACAGTAACCCAACAACAGAGTTGTGATGTTAGCTGAATCATCTCCATTCTGACCTAACCCCTGCTATCCTGTACAGTAAGCTTTCTGTGAGATCTCCCTAGAGCACTGGGCCTAAACTGCAGCTCCTGACTCTTTAACCTATCTCTCTCTCTCTCTCTCTCTCTCTCTCTAACTCGCTCTGCCTATCGCTCTCTCATCTCTCTCTCTCTCGATCTATCTCTCTCTCTCTTCTCTATCAATCCAGTCAATTCCAAAGTCGAGCTATCTCTCTCTCTCTCTCCTCTCTCTCTCTCTCTCTCTCTCTCCTCTCTCTCTCTCTCTCTCTCTCTCTCTCTCTCTCTCTCAATTCAATTTCAAGTTCTCTCTCTCTCTCTCGTCTCTCTCTCTCTCTCCTCTCTCTCTCTCTCTCTCTCTCTCTCTCTCTCTCTCTCTCTCTCTCTCTCTCTATCTCCACCACTCCTCTGAAGGATTAGCCTTTCCTCCCTGTTCTCTCGATCGCTCTCTGAGTCAGTCCTTCCGTCTCTCGTTCTCTCTATCCCCCCTTCATCCATCTCTGAATTCTCTATAGCTCTCTGATTCAGACCTTCTTTCACTCCTCCCTCTCATTGTTTTTATCCTTCCCTTCTTCCCTTTCCCCTATTCCACTCTTTTCCTCTCTGTCCCTCCCTCCCTCTCTACTCCCCTCCCTGTGAAGTCACTTCAGTGGCGTGCCATACAGAGCCTGTTGGTCCGGGCAGATTAGGCCAGTTTAAAGTTCGTATCCCCGGTAAGGTAATGACCTGCGTCTACGCGGGCCACGACCATTAATCCTTCAGCTGGACGATGAGTAACGGCCACCAGCCTCCGTAGTCACACTGAGCCACCAGTAATAATGTCCGGCACCATGTTCAGAGCAGCAGCGGGGGAAATGACAGGATGATATCAGCTCCATTCGGTCGCTGCAGGGGGGAGAGGTGGGGTCTGCTGGGGCTTATCAGAGCTAGCCTGGAGGGGGTTTCTGCCGGGGCTAGCCTGGTCACACTGTAGCTATTAGAGATAGCCTGGTCGAGAAGGGTATCGAGTGAGGGTGTAGTAGAATATCATCTTCCTCTCTAGCCTTAGGTCTGTGTCTGATCCTGAATACAGCCTCTCTCTCTCTCTCTCTCTCTCTCTCTCTCTCTCTCTCTCTCTCTCTCTCTCTCTCTCTCTCTCCCTCTTCCCTCTCTCTCCCAACTGTACTACATCATTACTGACAAAGCTTTACCTCCAACCACCACTTTCCCGTCTCCGCCTCAGGCACCATGCAGTGAGCTTCATGTGAGCTGCGTTCAAAGCAGTATCATTTACAATTATGTAGAGTAGTGTTGCTGTTACAAAACATAAACTGGATTACACTCCAACATCCCAACGGGTACACCTAGAGAGTGAACACTGAAGATCTAAGGTTGATTCAATTTAGTCTAAGTGCTGTAGCCTCAACATCTAATTAAGTATAAATGCTATGCTACACAAGTGTCTATGTTGTAGGGAAACAGGCTGAATTCAATCAATGTGCACTGTAGGCCTACTGTTTATGTATATAATAATAATATGCCATTTAGCAGACACTTTTATCCAAAGCGACTTACAGTCATGTGCGCATACATTTTTACGTATGGGTGGTCCCAGGGATCGAACCCACTACCCTGGCGTTACAAGTGCCATGCTCTACCAATTGAGCTACAGAGGACCACAATATATATTTAGGATATTAAAGTGATTACCTGTAAAAACTGTTGATTTAAATTCCAGACAATCATAGTGCACTACTATGGGCACTGATCAAAAGTAGCAAGATATATAGTGTAAATCAGCTAGAAAGATGTGTCGGCATCGAGTAATTGTCTCTGGCCCCCTCCCAGTGATGAGCTCTACAGCAGAGTCTCACAACTCAATCGCTGGTTGAAAACTGTTTTCTGCCCCTCCCAAAAGACAGAATTTTCTTTCTGAGTCCTCTTTCTGGGACTCACCCACAAACAAGCCTGGCCTGCTGAGGAGTGACGGACTCCATCCTAGCTGGAGGGGTGCTCTCATATTATCTATGAGCACAGACAGGGCTCTAACTCCTCTAGCTCCACAATGAGATAGGTTGCAGGCCAGGCAGCAGGCTGTTAGCCAGCTTAGTGGAGTCTGCCACTAGCACAGTCAGTGTAGTCAGCTCATCTGTCCCCATTGAGACCGTGTCTGTACCTCCATTCCTGTCATTATTGAAAGAGATTGTGATATCTCACATCTCAAAATAGGGCTACTTAATGTTAGATCCCTCACTTCCAAGGCAGTTATTGTCAATGAACTAATCACTGATCATAATCTTGATGTGATTGGCCTGACTGAAACATGGCTTAAGCCTGATTAATTTACTGTGTTAAATGAGGCATCTCCTCCTGGTTACACTAGTCACCATATCCCCCGTGCTTCCCGTAAAGGCGGAGGTGTTGCTAACATTTTCGATAGCAAATTTCAATTTACCCACCAAAACATGACTGCGTTTTCGTCTTTTGAGCTTCTAGTCATGAAATCTATGCAGCCTACTCAATCACTTTTTATAGCTACTGTTTACAGGCCTCCTGGGCCATATACAGGGTTCCTCACTGAGTTCCCTGAATTCCTATCGCACCTTGTAGTCATGGCAGATAATATTCACATTTTTTGGTGACTTTATTATTCACATGGAAAAGTCCACAGACCCACTCCAAAAGGCTTTCGGAGCCATCATTGACTTTTTTGTCCAACATGTCTCCGAACCTACTCATTGCCACACTCATACCCTGGAACTAGTTTTGTCCCATGGAATACATATTGTGGATCTAAATGTTTTTCCTCATAATCCTGGACTATCGGACCAACATCTTATTACGGAATCGCAACAAATAATCTGCTCAGACCCCAACCAAGGATCATCAAAAGCTGTGCTATAAATTCTCAGACAACCCAAATATTCCTAGATGCCCTTCCAGACTCCCTCCACCTACCCAAGGACGTCAGAGTACAATCGGTTCACCACCTAACTGAGGATCTAAATGTAACCTTGCATAATACACTAGATGCAGTCGCACCCCTAAAAACAAAAAACATTTTTCACAAGAAATTTGCTCCCTGGTACACAGAAAATACCCGAGCCCTGAAGCAAGCTTCCAGAAAATTGGAACGGAAATGGCGCTCCGCCAAACTGGAAGTCTTTCAACTAGCTTGGAAAGACAGTACAGTGCAATATCGAAGAGCCCTCACTGCTGCTTGATCATCCTATTTGTCCCACCTAATTGAGGAGAATAAGAACAATCCAAAATGTATTTTTGATACTGTTGCAAAGCTAACTAAAAAGCAGCATTCAAACAAGAGAGGATAGCTTTCACTTCAGCAGTGATAAATTCATGAACTTCTTCGATGAAAAGATCATGATCATTAGAAAGCAAATTACGGACTCCTCTTTGAATCTGCGTATTTCTCCAAAGCTCAGTTGTCCTGAGTCTGCACAGAACTGCCAGGACCTAGGACCAATGGAGACACTCAAGTTATTTAATCATATATCTCTTGACACGTTCATGAAAATGGTAATGGCCTCTAAACCGTCAAGCTGCATACTGGAACCTATTCCAACTAAACTACTGAAAGAGCTACTTCCTGTGCTTGGTCCTCCTATATTGAACATAATAAAAGGCTTCCTATCCACCGGATGTGTACCAAACTCACTAAAAGTGGCAGTAATAAAGCCTCTCTTGAAAAAGCCCAACCTTGACCCGGAATTTTTTTTGAAAAAAACTATTGGCCTACATCGAATCTTCCATTCCTCTCAAACATTTTGAAAAAGCTGTTGCACAGCAACTCACTGCCTTCCTGAAGACAAATAATGTATACGAAACGCTTCAGTCTGGTTTTAGACCCCATCATAGCACTGAGACTGCACTCGTGAAGGTGGTAAATTACCTTTTAATGGCATTAGACCAAGGCTCTGTATCTGTCCTTGTGCTCGTAGACCTTAGTGCTGCTTTTGACACCATCGATCCCCACATTCTTTTGGAGAGATTAGAAACCCTAATTGGTCTACACGGACAAGTTCTTGCCTGGTTTAGATCTTATCTGTCGGAAAGATATCAGTTTGTCTCTGTGGATGGTTTGTCCTCTGACAAATCAATTGTACGTTTCGGAGTTACTCAAGATTCCGTTTTAGGATCACTATTGTTTTCACTATATATTCTACCTCTTGGGGATGTCATTCGGAAACACAATGTCAACTTTCACTGCTATGCGGACGACACACAGCTGTAAATTTAGATGAAACATGGTGAAGCCCCATAATTGCCTACCCTGGAAGCCTGTGTTTCAGACATAAGGAAGTGGATGGTGGCAAATGTTTTACTTTTAAACTCGGACAAAACAGAGATGTTAGGTCCCAAGAAACAAAGAGATCTGCTGTTGGATCTGACAATTAATCTTGATGGTTGTACAGTTGTCTCAAATAAAACTGTGAAGGACCTCTGCGTTATTCTGGTCCCGGATCTCTCTTTTGACGAACATATCAAGAATATTTCAAGGACAGCTATTTTCCATCTTCGTAACAATGCAAAAATCAGGATTATTTTGTCCAAAAATGATGCAGAAAAGATAATCCAGATTAGACTACTGCAATGCTCTACTCTCCGGCTACCCGGATAAAGCAATAAATAAACTTCAGTTAGTGCTAAACACGGCTGCTAGAATCCTGACTAGAACCAAAACATTTGATCATATTACTCCAGTGCAAGCCTCTCTACATTGGCGTCCTGTTAAGGCTAGGGCTGATTTAAAGGTTTTACTGCTAACCTACAAATTACATGGGCTTGCGCCTACCTAACTCTCCGATTTGGTCCTGCCGTACATACCTACACGTACACTACGGTCACAAGACGCAGGCCTCCTTATTGTCCCTAGAATTTCTAAGCAAACAGCTGGAGACAGGGCTTTCTCCTATAGAGCTCCATTTTTATGGAATGGTCTGCCTTACCATGTGAGAGACGCAGACTCAGTCTCGACCTTTAAGTCATTACTGAAGACTCATCTCTTCAGTAGGTCCTATGATTGAGTGAAATCTTGCCCAGGGGTGCGAAGGTGAACGGCAAAGCACTGGAGCGACGAACCACCCTTGCTGTCCCTGCCTGGCCGACACCCCTCTCTCCACTGGGATTCTCTGCCTCTGACCCTTTTACGGGGGCTGAGTCACTGGCTTACTAGTGCTCTTCCATGCCGTCCCTAGGAGGGGTGCGTCACTTAAGTTGGTTGAGTCACAGACATGATCTTCCTGTCCGGTTTTGCGCCCCCTCAAGCTTGTGCGGTGGAGGAGATTTACGTGGGCTATACTCAGCCTTGTCTCAGGGTAGTAAGTTGGTGGTCTGATAATATCCCTCTAGTGGTGTGGGGGCTGTGTTTTGGCAAAGTGGGTGGGTTTATATCCTACCTGGTTGGCCCTGTCCGGGGGTATCATCGGACGGGGCCACAGTGTCCCCCGACCCACCCCTGTCTCAGTCTCCAGTATCTATGCTGCAATAGTCTATGTGCCGGGGGGCTAGGGTCAGTCTGTTATATCTGGTGTAATTTTCCTGTCTTATCTGGTGTCCTGTGTGAATTTAAGTATGCTCCCTCCAATTCTCTCTCTCTCTCTTGCTCTCTCCCTCCCCTCCCGGAGAACCTGAGCCCTAGGATCATGCCTCAGGACTACCTGGCCTGATGACTCCTGGCTGTCCCCAGTCCACCTGGTCGTGCTGCTACTCCAGTTTCAACTGTTCTGCCTGCGGCTAGGGAACCCTGACCTATTCACCGGACCTGCTATTTTCGACTCTCTCTTTCTCTCTACCGCACCTGCTCTCTCGTCCTTGAATGCTCAGCTATGAAAAGCCAACTAACATTTACTCCTGAGGTACTGACCTGTTGCACCCTCTACAACCACTGATTATTATTTGACCCTGCTGGTCATCTATGAACGTTTGAACATCTTGAAGAACAATCTGGCCTTAAATGGCCATGTACTCTTATAATCTCCACCCGGCACAGCCAGAAGAGGACTGGCCACCCCTCAGAGCCTGGTTCCTCTGTCATGCTGATTGAGTTAGAATAACAGACTGGAAGCTTTCAAAAGAGGGTGGTTACCTGCAAGGAAACACGTGCCATCATAATTTCTTTGCACAAAAAGGGCTTCACAGGCAAGGATATTGCTGCTAGTAAGATTGCACCTAAATCAACCATTTATCGGATCATCAAGAACTTCAAGGAGAAAGGTTCAATTGTTGTGAAGAAGGCTTCAGGGC